TCCGGGCTTGAGAAGGTCGTCAAAGAGCGTCGTTCCGCGAACTGGTAGGCGAGGCCGTGGGCGCGGCGACGACGTCCGTGTAGCGGTCGGGGACCTCCGCGACGATGGTGTTCGTCGTCGAGACGGTCGAGCTCGTCGCGTGCGCGCCGACGGCGAGCGCGCTCGTCGCGCCGAGACGGTCGGCCGAGCGCGCAGCGTCGACGGCGTCCGCCGCGCGCGTTTCAGGGCTCCCGCGAGCAGCCGACGCGTTCAGCGCCCGCGTAGGGTCTGTCGGCGCCTAGGAGAGCGGCTCCGTGCCGCCGGAGCGGCTCGCGCGGACCGGGTCCGCCGAGGTTGACGCTCGGAACACGTTCCGGCCCGAGGCCGTGCCCGTACGCCGACGCCGTCGTCACACTCGACGCAGCGCCCAACGTAGGGGCGGGGGGTGCCGGGGCGCCCGGCGACGGGGTCGCAGGCGCCCGAGAGGGCCAGGGGTCGCGGCCAGCGACGTGCGCACGATCCGCTTACACGGCTTCGGCGTCCGCTTCAAGCCGGCTGACCAAAAACCCCCCCACAAAAAAGGGGGGGGGTAAGACGTTTTTAGCGGGCGGCAAATAATATCCACAGACTGGCAGTCGTGAGACCCCGACGCTCCATCCGTGCCGTAGCCGCTCTTAGGGGGGCCAAAACTGACCGACGGGATGATGGCGGCGAAGGTCGCACTCTGGCGCGAGGTCGAAGCAGGGACGCGGTATACCGCCACAACGGCGGTGAACCGGTACCCGCAGCTGAAGGAGCCTTTGATGCGAGACCTGCCGAGCAAGATCGCCGTGAAGCCGAAGAGCGGCCCCGGTCCTGGTGGCCGCGCCCGCGACGTCAAGACCTACCTCGCCTCAGACGTCGACGACCTCGTCGCGCGGCTCGCCGTGCCGGACCCGGAACCGGTCGACCCGCGCTGGCGCGAGGTCGAGACGGGTGCGCGTTACACGCAGACGACGGCGATTGCGCGGTATCCGCGGTTGAATACGATGTCGTTCAAGGACCTGTCGAGCGAGATCGCCGTGAAGCCGAAGACCGACAATCAAGGCTCCCGCGACGTCAAGACCTACCTCGCCGCCGACGTCGACGCGCTCGTCGCGCGCCTCGCCGCGCCGGAGCCCGAACCCGTGGACCCGCGCTGGCGCGAGGTCGAAGCAGGGACGCGGTTCACGGCGACGACGGCGATGGAGAAGTATGCGAATTTGAACACGAAGTCGTTCAAGGGCCTCCCGAGCAGAATTGCGCGGCAACCGAAGATCAGCAATCATCCTGGTGACCACGCCCGCGACGTCAAGACCTACCTCGCCGCCGACGTCGACGCGCTCGCCGCGCGCCTCGCCGCGCCGGAGCCCGAACCCGTGGACCCGCGCTGGCGCGAGGTCGAAGCGGGGACGCGGTTCACGGCGAAGACGGCGATGGAGCGGTACCCGCAGCTGAAGAAGCATTCGATCCACAGCCTGCCGAGCAAGATCGCCCGGAAGCCGAACATCGGCAAATCCAAGCCGCGCGACACGTCGCGAGACGTCAAAACCTACCTCGCCGCCGACGTCGACGACCTCGTCGCGCGGCTCGCCGCGCCGGAGCCCGAACCGGTCGACCCGCGCTGGCGCAAGGTCGAAACGGGCGCGCGTTACGACCAGAGGACC